TATACATTCAAAAAGTTTTTTAGTATTCGCTTTTGCATGCGACTTAGTCTACACAGAATGGTTTTTACTTTACCGAATGAATACTAATTGAGACCAAATTTCAAATTTAAACATTTTAACCCCAAAATTATGGACATTTCCATACATCCCCAATCGATGAAAGTAAGCTTTGTTACTATCAAAATTTTAAGGTATATCATAAGCGGTGACATCTGGAATCTGATGGAAAATTTGGCAATGGAAGCAGGTCGCTCGATATTACTGGGTTACTGAACGACCCCTTTCACCCGAACTCATTCTGGTGCAAATGTATATATTAATATAAATAATATATTATTCTCAATCATAAATATTTTATTTATGTACTATTCTTTTAATCATATTTACATATACCAGCAATTATATTTGATGCTTTTGTTGTTTTAAATGTTTGTTATGGCTATGAGCCGTGATAGCTCAGTGTCCGGGCGCTCGCCTTTCATTTAATATACTCCAGCAACCTGAGTTCGATCCCCGGTGCCGGCACCAATGAAATTGTTAATTTTAAGTGCCGAATTATCACGTGCTCAGCGGTGAAGAAAAACATCGTGAGGAAACCGGCATATTTTCGAAACAATAACAAAAAAAATATTTCGAAGATATATGAAGTCCGCCAATCCGCAGTGGATACCCTCTGTACAAAGGAGGCCTTTGCCCAGCAGTGGGATATGTAGAGGCTGATACTTTACTTTTACATTTATGGCTATGCTATGAGGTTTACGGTCTTTAATTCGAATCGCAAAACTGAGAAATCATTGCCTTTATTATTATTAATAATTAATAATAAAGGCAATGATTTCTCATTAATTAATAATTAATTATAATTTCCCATTATAATTTCTTTATAATGAGAGATGTATATGAACAGTTTACGCATCTATGGGTTAAACTTTTTGACGATATTAATAACCTGTTACCTGCCCATTCGTGTGAAGACTGTTGAGTGGCCATACCACACCTAATTATAATTAAAGGTATGAATATTTTCTTTGGGTACGTGGCAACTGCAAGCGGCACTTAATAAGTGACTAACATCACTCATGAAAAACATTATCATTTTAAACATCAGCTTATGCTCGTCTATGAGACTGCCAACGACTTCCCCGACGTGTGCAGGCCTCACAGAACACCAGCTTATACTAAAAGTATCAATTCTATTGAATATCACCCAGCAAATGAGGTAACTGGAAGCACCCCATCTATAAGTTTGTCAATGAGTCCACCCCACAGGTGTTGTAGATATCTGTGGGTAGCAAAAATCACTTAATATCAGATGACCTGCCTGCTCGCTGGCAATATTGTCACATAAAAAAAAACCGAATTCAACAAATTCAAATTCGAAATTCAAACAGACGCTTGCGCGTTCTTATGAAACGTCTTAGTTTACAAAGAAATTAACGCACAAGTTAGTAAGTAAGTTACCATCGGTACGGAGGACAGTTTCTGTTGAAAAACAAACCGGCAAGAAACTCAACAACTCATCTTTAAGCATCGTTACTACAGGCGGATAGACACGAATACAGAATATTGTTGGAACACGGCCTAAATAAATACACAGTGCGAAGCAGGCCACTAACCAATTAACCTTTCGCGATCATTCTGACCTCGACGTATTCCTAAATAGTGCAAACTATTGTCTGTAGTACAAACTGTGACGCAGGAGCGTCGCATTTACAGGAGGACAAAATTAATAAACTACAAGCAAACTTTACAGAACCAAATGTAAGTTTAGGTCATGAAAGCGCAGTAAATCTTTAACTACTTAATACGTCTCATTTAGGGTAGGACTGTGCCTTATTATAAAATAAAATAATTATATTTACAAATAATGTTAAAATGCATTAAAAATTCCACAGAATTTAGATAATATTAATATACTTTTAAATTGAAATTACGAAGTCTTCTGTATCAAGTCCGTATACAAGTCGATGATAACACCACCAATAGCTTTGCTTCCGCAAGTTAATTACGGAACTGAAAGTAGGGCATCGATCTATTGTGTTGTATTTCCTATAACTAAGAATACGTTGATTTTGACAAATAACCTTATACTCAGTAATGGCCACTGAACCTCGATAGCCCATGAATAAGTAACGATACGAACAATCAATCAAAATAATAGTACATATTTACCTCACATATACTATTTTCCCTGGCGTTTATTAATTACTAGCTTTTTCCCGCAGATTCGTGCGCGTCGAAGCCCTCAAAAAACGTTTTTTTTTTTAAATATATTTTAAAAAATTCGATGACCTTCTTATTACCTCTAAGAATATGTGTACAAAGTTTCATGTTAATCGGTTGGGTGGTTTTGGCGTGAATGCGTAACAAACAAACTTACATTCACATCATTACATAGTATAAAACAAATTCGTCCCTGTGTGTCTGTTCCTATGTATGCTTAGATCTATAAAATTACGCAACGGATCTTGATGCGGTTTTTATTAGATAGAGATACCTACAGATACTTATTTCGCATCTGCGCATTTGCCCACGTGAAATTTATGTTTGTAAAACGTCCTCACAACACAGGATAATGTCATCCTAAACTAAGGGCAATGTTTTAAAAAAAAAAAAGAGGGGGAGAAGTCTCTTCGAAACGAAACCATCAGTATTGTAACAAATGTCGCATTGGCTGTATTGGTGTATTAAGGTAGCAAGCATAATATAAAAGTCCACAGAAATAAAGTTACGATTGGATTAACAGGACAAGGCCGGAACTAAAATTATCTGGCTGCTGTCTTCACCCTTTCAATCTCAGGAAATTTGTAACTGATAAAAGCTAAAACGCTAACGGTGACTTCATTTATAACAAGACAATATTTTTCTGTAGTTGGACAACTGACCAATAGAGCCGATGGCTTTCAAATGTTATGGCAATAGTAACGGACAATAAGGAGTCAAAATTAGAAGTTTCGATTGCTTCCATATCATATAAACCTATTTTCAACTGGGATTACGAAAGTGTGACACAGCTGCGAGCTGTCCCGCACGTCGTAAAAGTGCTATAATAGTGTTACGAAACATCTGTAAAATATTGGAAATGTAATCATAAAACTGCTCTAATTTCAGACGCATTTGGCTGTAAATCTAATTGATGAGGAGTTCGACTTGACGCTTGTTTAGCTGTTCCTGGATTCTTCAGATCATCAAAATTTAATCGGTTTTTAAGTCAAATGACATTAAATTACTAATTAGCTAAGATATTAAACAACTGCTTAATCAAGAAAATGTTTTTTCCCCACTTATTTTCATCATTAATGATATTGTCTAATGTATCTTGCAATTTTAGACAATGATATACTCAAATAACTTCAAAAATACTACGATAATAAATTTACTAGCCTTTTATGCCGAATGTTTCATTAAATATGTAATCTTTATCCAAGAAAAATTAGTGTTTATAAACTTTTTACATTATCTGTGTATTGTGACATTATTATATTCCTACTGTTGTTTAAAATTTTATAATTCATAGTGTCAACATTTTCATCGTAACTTTTGGGCACCTTATACGTTTTGCGCATTAGGTTTTTGCTTTGGAATTGCCTTTCCGTTCTGAAATAACCTCTGAATACATTATGTTTCTGATTTCTGGTTCGCGTGACTCGAGGTACACCCCTAGATTTTGTTTCACCGATTGTACGTTAAGGCCCATTTACACGGTGCCAGTTTCTTGCCTGTTGTATACAATTAAATTGAAGCAATAAATAAGTTGCATGGTCTAAACAACAAATGGTCTAACCAATTATTGCGCGCAATTTATTGCATTCAATTATTGCTCTTGCATGTACAAGAAAATGGCATCGTGTAAATGGGCCTTTACACTGGCGATTTATGAGAATAAATGGATGTTAACGCCTATAACTAGAAATGCTAGGCAGTTGGCACACGGGTACACTTACTACGATTAACACGAAATTAAAAATTAGATAAAAAATATAATAATTAGAGAAAAAAATAAAAAATTTCTTCGTCAATGGTTGTTCTCAAAAATAGGTTTTTTTTTACATTTTATATTCTAAAAATATATATTTTATTAAAATATGATTTTTTTATGTAAAAAAAAAAAATAAAAACACTAATAAGTATCGGTTTTCCGCACACTCCGTGGATTACTCCAAAGTTTCATTACGTCACGATTTTGGACCATCGATTAGCGTAAATTATAGGCCGATTGAGTCAACGTTCAGAAAATGAGTCATAAATAGTAAACATTATGACTTAACATAAGTCACATAGTAAAGCGTCATCAATAGAGAATACCGATGACTCTGTGGTTATACGCATTAAACTCTATCCTACCTTTAGTTAGACGTTTACCTTTATTTTACCTCTAGTTTTAAGCACGACCACCATTTTATCGGCACAGCGAGAAGTACTTTAAATTATCTGAATTACTGTTATTTAAAGTGCAAAGGATCTAATAGTTAGCTCTAGTATTAGTTAGTTAAAGCATCGAAATAATACCTTTGTTCCTGCATAAAAACGTCACTTTCATTTTTCTATCCCTTATTCTGGAGAATATAAAGACTTTTTCATATTTATGTTGAATTACAGACCAAAATCATACTAAGCACTTTATATTCGTGCGCAAAGATGATGATATTCCTTCGTTCACTAAACATCGCGTTCCGGTAATTGTGCACTTAATGCCTTTAACACCTTTTAAAGTGGAATTAACCAGAAAACTACTGTTTTACGATTGAAATATGTCTAATTTCTATTATTTAATAATTTTACATTACTTATACTAGTCAGTATTTCAAAATATAATACAATTGGAAAATTAATGACAAACTTACGCATAGTTAGCATTAGACGTATAAGAATCTAATTTACGTAAAATTATCCATAACAAAAAAAATACATGCGTCAGTTTGTTTTAACAAAACCTGAAAACAAATATATGATTAAGACTTTATTCTGATATTTTGCACGACAGCCCTCCAAGGACTTACCAAAAACAGCCCGTTGAAAACGACGAGCAAATACTTTATGCAGTTCATACCGCAGCCCTCCATTTTCTTGAATCACGAAACACGTTAATGTCACAGATAAGCAAGACCTTGCGTCCACAGGTGAATAAGCTTTCGATGTTTATTTTTTTTTAAATAACCGGTTGCGTAACACGTGTGCCAGCGACTCTAGTCCGTCGTCGAATGTCGCTTTGACAGTTGGCTCGGTCGCTTTTTAGTGCTCTATGCTCGGCTTTCGGTGGCGCGAAGTAGCGTGCAAGGGCTGAAGTCACGCAGGGGTCCAGAGCTTTTCAAACTTTCCCAATGTCGGGTTTAAATGTAGAAATATTCTGTACATATTATTTAACAGATTCGAATGTAGACATATTCTGTGCATTATTTAATCGAAATACAGAGTGAAACATCAGTTTTTGTGTGGGGTTCAGGACAAGTCAAAGAGTTTTACTCATCTAATGATTCTGACTACTTTAGTAATGAAATTGACGCTTTGTAATGCAATGTTATAGATACAATTCTATGTGACTGTGGAAGTAATCGGAATTATCATAAACAACGGTTTATGAAAAAATATGCGGTCGTTAAAACGTAAACTGGAGATACACGATTAAGATATAATGTTTCTCATATATTTCCACAGAAACAGTCAGTTTCCGTCAGAAACAGGCTAATAAATTGTATCAGAATGCTAAAGTGAAACTTATTAATTCTATTTATTGGCCATTTAATTATTTTTTGCCTAAATATAAACTCTTTACAAATTGACAAGGAACGTAATTAACGTGTTCTGAGCTTCTCCGCGCCCTAACTTTGAAAGCATTCAAATTAGTATTAAAAAAAAAATATTTCCATGTAATTCCCATTCCACTTTAACTAATTATTATAGCTAGCTAGCTTTTCGCCCTCGGCTTCGCTCGCGTTAAATATTTTTTTTTCTTAAATCAATATGATGCAAATGTTACACTGATTCTATGATATTCGTAAGTGAAAAATCGTAATAGCAATCCGATTAACGTAAGCCGTCTGGGTTCAAATTCTCGACCTGAGATGGAATTCTCAAATAAATAGAAATCTATGTCCATATTATTTTAATTTATTATTAAGTAAGTTTTTCACAATAATTTTAATCTTTTGACGGATGTGATGTCTGACTAAGATCTCAAGGTCGCGAGCTTAACTGCCGGTGCTATGGGCCAATGAGGTTACAGATACAATTTTTTTTAATACGGTGTCCAGTTTATGACGACATTTTTTTAAGTGAGACGGTGGCAATTGAGTCGACGGTTCACCTGATATTAAGTGATAACCGGGGCATTTACAACATCCGCAGGGTTGATGAGATGCGTTAGTGACATTTAATAAATTGGCACCCCTCCTCACTCACCGTACGAATCGCAGAAGTGTAACACTTCCACTTCATTGATCTTCTGTCAGGTCACTAGTAGTTTTAAAAGTTAAAAAAAAATGTCATCTGTCTCTGTCAATCCCTTTATGGTGACAAATCAAATAAAACGTGAGACATCGCTTTTAGAACAGAGGTTTTTGAACAAGCTTTAGGCCCGTCCGATTTTGTTCTCATATTATTATATCTTTATTATATATTATTATTATCTTATTATATATCCAAGAACAGAAAGTACTTCTTCTAAAAGTATGGGCCCATTTTTTTCAAAGTTGACAACGATACTCTCTGTGTAATTAATGTCCATGGATGATTATCATTTAATATGATAAAAATTGTCTGCTTGCTTATACTTACGCTACCTTCTTACATAAATAACAATTCCAAAAATTAAATGATGATTAGAAACTCGTTCGTAAACCTCCTACAATGCTTGTAACTATAGGTTTCTTTCGATCGACGTTTATAAAAAGCTCTTACTGATTCGTATCGCAAACATTTCGGACCTCATTCGAGTACAGGCAATTAACGAGAACGGTCGCCATGGCTACCGATTCATCGACTATAAGTTCTCCAACCCCCGAGGTCATTACCACTCACTGTCAGGGTTTAACTATTTGACCATAATAGGTTCGTCGACATCACACTAGTAAGTAAAATGAAAAATGGTTCCGCCGGAATTTAAATGAATTACAAGATAATACAACTTCTTACGAAGCGGGGCTTCCGTCATAATAATCATCATTGGTGATAGTGATGCGGAAGAGTAGTAATACTGCTCAGGGTCCCCTTATCGATTGCGATCCAAGCCGGGGCTCGAACCTCCATTTGAGGGGCTCATAGGTCGTGTCGTCATATAGCAAAACAAAGTTTACCGGGTCAGCTAGTTTGTAATTAAACGTAGTCAACAGACAGTAATAAACTGTAGAGTCAGAGTAAGAGAGAACGAGAAAGAGGAAAAAGGTATTTAACCTTTATTGTAGACAAATATAGCAAATAATCACATTTAAATCGCCTTTTTAAATGACGAATCGTGACAGGCGTTCCCATAATACTCGTGACTGAAGTAATGCCTACAAAACGTATCTCAAATCGCCTAAGGTGTCAATTTATCCGTAAAAAATATGAAAAATTTATAACTCATTGACGTTTAACTGGGCTTCGAAATAACGACCGCCAATAGATGTGCTCCCTCTAGGACAGTCTAGGGTATTGTTACCATAAAGTTAATTTATCTATTAAGTATTAGGCCCGGGGCATTTTCCGGCAAACCTAAATTAAAATTATGCGTATTAATAAAAACGAGGAAGTGGAGAATGAAACATCGTATATCAGGATGTTCATAGTTTAGTATATTAGTATTAGCGGGCATGCAAATTCTAAATGATCTTATCATTTAAATTTCTATATTGCTAATTTATATTAAACATTAAAATTGTAGAAAAAAGTACGAAAAGTTTTTCGCCGCTTTTTGAATCGAAACCGGTGAACTTTTCCACAACAAGAAGAAGTTTCCCACAGCGCAGCGGTTAAATTCGGGATTCGCGCACCAACGCTTTAACCACTAAGCTAAACGACTGATTTCCACAATTATGAAAATCTCAACTTCTTTTTTTCTCATTTCAAGAAATACTTTCGATTACACACCCATAACTAGTTTATCATTACGGGGGCACTTACTTCCGCACTTTAACCCTTTGACTGTAACTTTTTATAGATAAAATAAACTAAAATATGTCTAATCTAAGACTTCACCTGACAAAGAATAGTATTTAATCCCAGTTGATTTTTCAGTATTTTCTAGCTAATCAGCCTTTCTCAGTGCGGCTGTTGCTTAAATGTATTTAATATTAAATATAGTAATTGTTTAAAATAAAACCCTTCCTTCTTTTTTCTTTTCTTTCCGGCCTAGGTGGGGTCGGCGCAGCATGTGAAAAATTTTGTTAATGACTACATTTTTTATTACAGACCACTTACCTGTTGTCTACCATCCTTGGGAACGAACACCCAGCGATCATCTGTGGTTCACTTAATGATGAATAAAACCCATGACGCCCGGCATCTAAGCCAATCGCTAATCAGCACCGCTGAGTCAACACCATAAGTAAACCGTCCCTCTTTTATGTGGTTAAAATTCAATTTATCTTCACGCCAATGGTTCTTGACTTATGTACCCCTATAGCTTTGAAATCTAGATATTGATCTGTTATTTTCACAAAAAGAAAATAGCGGTAGCTTTTAGCTCGTGTGGCGGCGAACGTGTCATGACGAGCTTATTACAGTTCATACACCTTGAACCTGACACGAATATATTTCGTTTTATGTAAGGAGATCAATGCCACGAAATTTAACCTTGAAATATGTGACCTCGCATATATTTTTTTATTCATTGACGATACTCCGATTTTTTTATGACTTTCCGATTACAATAAGTCCATGACTAATCCTTCGTTTTCATTCTCCATTCTGTCCAAACAAACGCTTGTAATTCGGGACATATGGATACGTGTATATTACTTGCATATAGCTTAAAGACTTTCTGTCTGTTGGCCAGTTTGTTCATTTATAACTTGAAGAGAGTCATGACGTATCGTTTTTGTAATTGATAGTGCTTTCCTTTTAGTATTAGGGAATGGATAAAGCTTTAACCTTCTTGAGAATCACGATTCATAAGGTTAACGAGACCCTATTACTAAAACTCCCCTGTCTGCTGGTCCGTCTATCCGTCTGTCACCTGGCTGTATCTCATGAACCGTAATAATAAGACAGTTGAAAATTTCACAGATGATGTATTTCTGTTGCCGCTATAAACCAAAAGCCGTGATAGCTCAGTGTCAGGGCGCTCGCCTTTAATTCAATACGAGTATATTCGAGCAACCTGAGTTCGATGCCCGATGCCGGCACCAATGAAATTGTTGATTTTAAGTGCTGACTTATCACGTGCTCTGCGGTGAAGGAAAACATCGTGAGGAAACCTGCATATTTTCGATATAATAACAGAAAAAATATTTCGAAGATATGTGAAGTCTGCCAAGTGGGGCCGCGTGGGGTACTATGCCTTGATATCCTCTGAATAGAGGAGGCCTTTGCCCAACAGTGGGACATGTTTAGGCTGTTACTTTACTTTACTTTTATAACAAAAAAATACTAAAAAACAGAATAAAAAAATATTTAAATGGGGCTCCCATACAACAATGGGGCTCCCGGTGCGAGTGCAAAGGAAAATCATGTCCTTTGCACTCGCACCGGTTTTTATAAGTCACTAGCGACCCGCCCCGGCTTCGCGCGGGTGCAGTGTATATTACATATAAACTTTCCTCTTGAATCACTCTATCTAGTAAAAAAATCGCATCAATATCCTTTGCATAGTTTTAAAGATCTAAGCATACATAAGGACAGACAGACTGCGGGACGACTTTGTTTTATACTATGTAGTGATACATCATCCGGTCACATTTCAAAACGCATTTATTAATTTAGTTGAGTAAGTCCATACTTCGTGCTAAGAAACCGTGTGTCGTTATAAAATCGATACTGTTGCTAAAGAAACGAAGACCATTCCAAGTAAACTGCCTACTTAGTGTGTGCCAAAGGCCGCCTCGCGAATTTCCTTTGGGGCGTCCTTGGCGGCCAGAGGAGGGTGGTG